AAAAAAAAAAAAAACCTCCCTCCCTCATCAGTTTTTATTCTTTGGTAGGGTGATAAACTAATAACTTTTTTTATGGGGCCTAATGATCCAAATGCATACACAGATCAAAAAATAGGGCCTAGGGGCCTAGGCCTAAATCCAGAAAAACAACTATTAAAGCCAATGACAAACGTTGGTTCAATTAACCTCGATTACGACAAGAAGGTTCAAAAAGATGGTACTGCATGATGCCACATTTTGTTGTCGGATGTTTCATGGGAAAATTCCAATTAAAATTATAAGACTGGCCTTTAATGGTTTCAAAATTTAAGAATTGACTCGGACATTCTGGCAATTTCTTACTTGATTGCAAAAAAGTACAGCTCGTCGTGCTAGCAAGCGCGGAAACAGCTGTATCAACCTATATTTATAAAGGTATCTTTTTGTTAAAAGAATGTACTTTATGAGTGGTCGAATCATGTAAAAATGTTTTATAATTATGTGTTGTGACTGTGAGAAGAAAATTCAGGTATAAAAATTAAGAATTAAAAGTTAGGTACGAAAGTGCATTAGCACTGTAGGCTAGGCCTTTTATATTATTATGTGCTGTATAGACAGGACTAATTAGTGCCCAACTCACTGACTGCGCCACCTCATCCTAGCACCTCCCTGTTCTCAATCCTGGATTTGTTGTCTGTCATTAGGCCTAGCTAGCTAGGTACTAGTCAAGTTTAGTTCCCATAAACTATACAGCTAGTTTACCTACCTAGCTGAATGCACATCATCCTGCCACGGACAAAAATGCACCTGGATTGATTTCACAAATTTAAGGGTAGTACCTTTTACAATTATAGACCGAGCCATGCTAATTTTTATACAGCAAGTAAACGTGTGCTAGATTGATCTCATGTCATACATTTTACCAAAGATACTAGAAATACAAGATAGAGTTCTCGCATTGAAAAAATGAGGCGGAAGTCGTGCCCAACGTAGGCGGCGTCCTTCTTTTTAACCATGCAAGTTTCCTATACTTCGTGCCCAACGTACAGGGCGCCCTTCTGTTGCTA